TGGCTGAGGGACACGCTCAGGGCTGGGCTGAGCCTGCCCCGGCTGCGCTGGCACACTGTGAGCTACGGGGGCTCTGCTCTGAGGTCGAGGCACCTTTGGGGTACTGAATCTCCTACAATGGTTGAATACAGCAGAGCAGGTGGAAATATCCAGAACTAACAAATAAATGGAGGAGATAATAAAATCATACCTATGTTTTTCTTTCCCTCTCATACACACGAGTGTGCACACAGACACAAACACACAGCCCCTCCTCGCGCTCGCCTGCAAGCCCAAAAATCCACAGAAATGGCTTTCTCCTCACAAAACAAAATTCTCCAGTTCTGTGCAGTTTTTGGCAATGAAAACTTGGATTTTCAGTGAGGGAAATGGATTTCTCATTCGTTCTATCAAATGCTTGAATTCATTTGTGGGAGAAAACGTTCCCTATCTGACTCAGTAAATATTCCCTTGGAGAGCCCTTTTTTGCAGTTCAAGCCCAAAAACCAGCACCTGATCTCCGTGTAGGCAGGAGAGCACGATTTAAAGCTCAGTATCCAGGCAGAACCTGGAGGTCTCTTTTGAAAGGTGCTTTCTTCATGGCATATTTACGAGAAAGGCAAGCGTTTGGGTATTTTCAGCACAAGGGTATGAGTACGGGCTCCACTGTAAACAGTGCGATGGACCTGCCAGTGGATGAGCTGAGGACAGGGCAAAGCCTGGGATGGTTGAGAAGACACAGCTCACAGCCACAAGCTGCAGAGACTGGTTTTAGTGAGCGATTCCTGGCTGTGCTGTGCTTGGCAAAGTGAGCCGAGATACGGAGCTGAGCAACTTCTGCCACGGGAGGGCTGGGTGGGTGCTCAGCTGCTGAGGAAAGCAGCTGAGCACGTTTTCCTGCCATAAACATACATGCCCTATTTTGAGGCAAGACGAGGGTCAGGCACACTCAGAAGCTGGTTTAGACATCGGTGGGATCGGCAGCTGCTGTGGCACAGACCATTGGAAGCTGCAAAAGGGCTGCGGGGGAGTGACGCTGGCTCTGCTGCCGACTGCAGCGAGGGGGACAGGGACCGGCTGCCAGAGGGGTGCACAGTCCATCTGTCCTACACCAGCACAGACAGACACACAGCCAAGGCTGCCCCAGCTGCCACCTCCAAGATGAGGGGCCGTTGGCACTGCACCGAAACAAGGGGACTGTCCCCTTTAGCAGCAGCCATTGCTCCCACGGTCCTTGCACAGCACCAAGTCCAGCTTCTGTAACAGCGAGTGGCCTGTCCATGACCAGCAAGCACTGACGGGGGCAAGAGCAGAGCCCCGCAGCCCCCTGCTCTGCCAGCCTCCAGTGCCGCAGACAACGGCTCTGAGATGCTACCGCGTTTCTAGGAGCTGACCCTCATGTGGGCAGATAGGGCTGAAGGGGTGGCAAAGCAGCTACAGGAAAATAGATTGTTTGCTGCTACGATCAGTTTGTGTTGGCGTACGGTAATGCGAAGTTATTTGCATCCCAGCCTTTCCCTGTTACCTTTGCGCTGTTTAAAACAAGGACGTAGTACGCATCGTAATGAAAAACCTGGCGATGCCGAAGGGAGAGGTGATCTTTGCTATGGCCCTTGTGCAATACAAGCTGACAGAGAATTTAGCTGCTAAATAACAGGCAGCGAGCCACAGCTGGATTTATGAACGTGTACATTACTGTGAGGTCTGTGCCATCCTTGGCTTGGCCGCCTGGACCTTCGTACGCTTTCTGCAGGATATTGTTTCCTATATTTCCTTATTTTGTCAGTCCTCAAATCTTCCTGTCTTGCCAAAATTGGGGAATAAATTCTGCCGTGATTTAAAACTTTGCCCTATTTAACGCATTTAATGAGGCAAAATCTGTTTCTCAGCCAGGAAATCCTTTCCACGAGGCACTTCCTCAAACCACACGGACTCTTGGCTAAAACCAAGGTCTGGTGAGTGCCATGGCTCCTCAAATCCATGTTTCGCTTCCTGCCTAAATTGTGCTCCAAAACCTCAGCTTTCTTTTAAACTCCCTGCAATTGTGGCTGCGACCTTGTTTTTGTGAACGCTGCGTGAAGCAGTGGGTCTGCAGAGCTTGAAATAATTCCTCCCAAGTCAGGAGCCAAAGGGGATCTTCAGGCAAACTTCCCACCCAGCTCTAAGGTAGCCAGCAATGGAGATGGTAGACTCCTGGCCTCAGGATGCTGTCAGGAGCACGAAGGAGCAGCTGGTTATCGGGGGCCATGAGCTCTCCCCATCCCTGCTATAAAAAGGGAAGAAAAATATCTGAAATTTAAACAAGGCTGACCACTGCTGTGTCTGGAGACCAGGTGGACTGTGGCTACGGTTTGCTCTAAAAAATGCAGTTTCATAGTCCTGGCCCTGTGCGACCACTTTGCTGGCCACGGCTGCGTTCGAGGATGTTCCCCTTATTGTTAAGGGGAGTTTTTATTATCGCAGTGGTCATAAAGCGAGTGGTCTCTGAGCAAACATTCAGTGAAGGTGACAAAAGGGAACAGCAATGATATCCCTCAGGGGGTGCAAAGGAGGAGAGAATGGACTGGAGAAGGAGTCCCCCCACGTTTGGAGTGGGCTACAAGTCCTGTGGCTTCCCCACAGTGCAGGAACACGGGCTAAATGAGAGATGTCTTTGCAGATATGGGAAGAAAGGGTTTTAGAGGGCCTGATCCACTCAACATTCATGTGAGCGAGGCTTTGGGGGAAGCCCCTTATGTGGACTCTGATCCACAGCATAAATCTGTCTTACTAGCTCCATTAAAAATATTGCAATTAAAATAAATTCAGGACTGCGGGACATTCAGGTCCATATGCTTATGTTACATAAAAGAGGAATATATACAAAAGTATGTGTTTTTTAATGATAAAATCCTCCTCCGTTCTGAACACTTAGATACTGCAGCCCAGCTGCAACCATTTCTGGGAAACTTCCATTATATTCAAGTATTCAGCATTTTGGAAGGCTGGTATCCAGCAGCAAGGAATTTTTCTGATTTGCTTTGTAACCTGTCAGGTTATGGTAAATTTAAGGACACAGTGAAAACAAAAATATCTTAGAAACAGACACATTTGTATGAATAGCAGAAGCACAGATTCCTATAAATTTTGTCTTCTTTTGAATCTCAGAATCTCTATCAGAAGAATTGCAAGCAAAGTATTTGAATGAAACAATCACTTAGAAAAAAGATGGAATTTCAGATATTTGCTCTGGTATTTAAAAGCTCATAATAATATAATGCGTTGATTTAAAAAGTAAGATTTGCCTATTTCTTCTTCTTTTTTAAGATAATTAGCAGAATTACTTTGAAATCCTGAATGATCTGTACTGACTTTTAAAAACATAAACATTAGATCATTTGCTTGAAGGAAGAGCAATGTCTAAGGTCTATAAGGATGGTTCTTAGAGGAGATGTTGTGGCCACACTGAGAAGAACTCAGTAACACGGCAGCAGCCGCTCAGCATTGCACTGGGCTGGTCTTTGTGCTGCCTTCTCCACGGGCAAGGGTGGGACCTGGAGCAGGACCTCAGGTCTCCCAACGGATCCTAAACTTGTGCTCTGCCCCAAGGCCAGCACCTTCAGTGGCTGCAGAGACCTCCTCCAGCAGCCTAACCCGTTCCCTCCTGCCACTCAGAGCTTAATACAGGAATGCAAAAAGGATTAAGGAAGGTGCGGGAAAAGTGTGGGAGCAAGCAATGGGACAAGTAAGATGGGATACTTCCTATTGCACTGAGTGCTTACTCGCCCATATTCAGGTGCCCTGTAATGAAACGATGTTTCACCTCCAAATGTTTTCCATATGAAAAGGATGGCACTTAAACCAGTGCTTTTTAATACTTAAAATTAATGTCTGCCTGTTGATTTTCTGTTTTGTGGTCCAAGTGGCCCGAGATACCTTCTCAAACCCCTTGCTCCTCCTAACTCCTCGTTTCAGAACAGAAAGTTTAAGCTAAACAGTACAACTATGGGAAATGCTTAACTATTTGATTCACACACGCCAAATCTATGCTCTAGTCATCTTTTCCTGTTTTCTGTTAATTCTCAAAGTTGTAAAAACAAAATAATCAAACCAAAAGCATCCAAAGCTTTCTCACAGAAAAGCTGAGGGAAATCTGATTGAAACCTGAAGGTATAATTAAGTTCAGAGGGGTTAAAAAAAAATACTAAGAGGGAAATATGAACTTGAAAACGATGATGAACTCTCATTGTGTGAAATAACACGGCTCTGTTTGAATGAGCCCCTGTTTAAGAGCGGAGATAGCATTATTCTATTTCAGGCGCTCTGAGTAGGCGAGCAAATTTTCCCTGTCGAAAAAAAAAATCTAATAAAATCCAAAGGACAGCAATGAACTTCTCTGGATTACCATGGAGATAACATTTGCTTTGTTTGTCATATGTGTCATCGTTACCGCCTCTAGTTCATTATTTCTACAAGTGATTTTTATTTGCGTTTCTTTCAGACCCAGTAAGTCTGAAAGACTTCTGCGCTGGGAGCGCAGTGTTAATGCTTCCACTCACTCAGTCATCCCGGGACAACAATTTTGAAAGGAACTGTACAGGGAGAACGAGACACCACAAGTCACAAACACACCATTTATTCCCATGTCACTTACTATAACTACTGTCCTCCTCTTTTGTTCCATCAATTGTTCCATCTGCTTGCAACTGTAAGTGGTATCCTTGCCTGCTGTATAGCTTTGTTACTATACCTTTAAGCTGAGGCTCTGCAAAAAAACAATAGTGAGATTAATGTGGGAAATCCTGATGTGCCATTCCAAGAGAGCAGGATGCTAAAAACAAATCTCTGGGTTTCTTCTCAAGGCTGAGATATGAAAAAGACCCAAAACAAGAGCAGGGCAACCAGCTTTGCAACACTTTTCACTTAGGATGAGATCAAATTTATGCCTCTGAAATCAATTACTAAAATGATTAAATGCCACTTTCGATTGCAACGTAGGTAGCCGAGTAAAACGTGCTTCCAGTGAATATAAATTCCGATGGTGTGCTGCTCAGCCTCAGGAGCTCAGCCCTATCTCATTTAAGATTAGAAATGAGCTGGCAAAGAGCGTATTCCGCCTTTTAAAAAGGTGTGAGTTCTTAAATGGAGAGGAAAAAGAGGACTACTACGATAGCGCTAATAAGAGCCGTAGTGACAGTCGAGAGCCTAAATATATAGCAGCAAACGTTTAGCACAGGAACTGCTGCAGCTCTAACAAACAACCCCCCATTCCTCACTGCTCCAAAGAGTACAGAGCATCCGAAGTGATAAACTACTCAATGAACATATGGAAAATGGAGGGGGGAACCCTGAAATTCTGCAATGTGTGGAACTGCAAAATAAATATTACCATAAGGATTGAGGTAATTACCTCATCAGCTAGAAGAAGAAAGATCAAAACAACGCATAGTTTGGATACATTTCTTTTTTTCATAACCATTCTCAGATTCACAGTTAGAAAGCGAGATATCTCATATGGTTTCAGATCATTCCAGACCCAAAAGTAAACAGCAACAGGATCTGCTGTCGAGTCTGTCATTCAAGATATCTAGGTAATGCACCAGGAGTAATTGCAAAAAAGGTCTACTTCCACTGAATCCCAATGACATCTGCATCATAGTCATTTCACACAATTATGCTTGTCAGGAGGCGATGCATCTCCACAGCTCGCTCCACAACAACTTACTTAATTCAGAGATAAACACAGTGTGAAGATATGATGTGTCATTTCCAACAGCCAATGTCTGGCTAAGACCCCTTGTGTTTGTAATCAAAGGCATCGGGGAACTCTGCTGCTGTACTTCATTTTAGTAGGAGCTGAAGGCAAAAGCTTACAATAGTTTGCGTTAAGTGTATTAGTTCCTATTAGCAACCTTTAGTAAGGGCACCGACGGATGCACAATTCTCATCGACCAACTTTTCTGCCAGGAAATTAATCCAACCCTCACTTTGGCTTTTTAGCCATAACACATCCCAAAGCTGCTTGCAAATTGCGAGCCAGGCACCTCTTCTGTGGCTGCTGAGGAAGGCAGACAGGTTAAGTGGCTAACGGCATCAATGTTTCAGCACAGCAAAGCGATAGCGACATTACCAGTGGGTTTTGCTCCTCCCACGTACAAAAAACCCCGCTCAGATCAGGGACTGAGTCTTCATGCCTGATCTTTTGCACCTCTGACACAGAGAGCATCGCGTCTGCAGGGCAGCTGCATGTATGAGATTCCTAGAAAGGAACGGGGCGCTGAAGCAAAACTCTGGAAGGTGCCAGCGAAAGCAAAAAGCCTCGTCTGCAGTCAGCAAATAAAGGACGGCACAGGCGTCGGGCAAAGCAGGGAGACAACATCACATCTCTAGACCACCAAGTGATTTAACATACAACTGAAGAAGGTGCATGTGTGGGAACTTCCCCTGCAAACATCTGCCCCGCAAATTAATCACATGTGTTTGTACATGTGTGTGTGCAAGACAGGCTACTGAATTACCGGTGCACAGGTGTGCAAGTGAGGCAGACAACAACGGTGTGTGTTATCCAAATAAACCAGAAGAACATGAAAGGGGAAGGGACTGGCATGGGGAACCCATGTCTATCAGATCATACACACCAGGAAGGGCAATGCCTACATTTTACCAGCCCCGAGGCACTGGTCCCTCTTTCCCCACACCTGACGCACACCCCAGTTTGCATTAAATGAAACAAACCAACCCCCCAAACACATAACCCTTGCCAACCTGGTCGCCTTCTTCGTCTTTTCTTGGAGCCAAAGAGTTTGACCCTGGAAAACACATTCAACTTGTTCTTGTCGCAGCTTCCCTTGCTCTTGCTGGGGCTGTTGACACACTTACAGGCATTGGACTTCTCCCGCTCCCTGGCTTGTGTCTTCTGGCGGATCAGGGAGCTGGCGATGGCTGCAGCCATGGCC